TTAGCTAACAGAAGACATTATACACGGTATTAATTGTTTAAAAATATTATTGCGTCCAATACATAAAATTATGGTATAAAAACTTTTAGTATTTTATTCACACCAATAAATACATTTATCCTATATACATTAATCGCACTCATACTGCTTGATATATGGAGTACTCGATATTCCTCCATCTAACTCTTCCCTATAATAAACTAATCTATATTGGGGTCGACGGGGTATTTTTATAAAATTCCCGCCATCAGCTCAAGTCATACATACAACCTGAGAGGCTAGAAGCTACGTCATGTGAATAAATACATTTACTCATACAAGACACAGAAACAACAAACACATAACTTAATTTCTATATACAATAAAAAATTTCGAATTCCTTTAAAACGCGAAACAGAAGACCCTGAAACTCGCTGCTGTGTCCGCGAACTCTCTTTAAATCTGGCGGCATCCCTACTAGCGCCCTGTAGGGATCCAAGGCACGACATGCTTCGACTATGTGGGACACATTGAGCAACCTTTCTCTGCATAACGCACCCCTGCGGGGGACCTGGCCGACGGTGTTAATTGTTTACAAAAATTATTGTGTACAATAAACACCATTATGGAATTAAAACTTTTATTTTGTTATTTTTCATAATTCCTTATTAAATTTGCTTGCAGTAAAATCAATAATTTCTAATAAATTTTAACGGTATTTATCATAAAAATGCTAGGGAAAGAAAATACTACAAAATTGGCTGTATCCCTACACATTGTTGACCAGTTTATTTTATCGGCAATAATAATAAGACTAAGTTAAATTGAAAGGAGTCATGTTTCATTTTCGACCTTCGTCATTTACAATTTTCCTTTTGTAGCGATTAGTTTGTAAATAAAGTTAATTTACAATGCAACAAGAAACTTTTTATTAATGTATAAAAACGATAATCATAGGCAATAAAGTTCGTCGCTGCAAACATAGAATAAGGAAAGCATGCAATATTTCCGAATATTTCAAATTATTTATTTACTTTATTGCTACCTTTAACCCTCGAAGCAAAGTTAAAAGATAAATGTTCAATTTCGGTTGGATTAGTTTTGGAAATGAATGTACTTATAAAACCACTGAATATTAAAACGGCAATAAGCTATTATCTATTCATCAATGAATGATTGATCATCTAAACAAGCCATTCATCATTTTTGTAGCTGTTAACGAATTCCTCCCTTCGCGGAATTAAGTGTGTCGGCAAATTTCCACCCGTTCAGCGTTTAGCTCTCAATTTACAAAGATTATATAAAGGAAAGAGCATCACAAGTAATTTTTATAGATGGTTTACTGATTAAAAACCTGTAACTTTGGAAAATTGCAAATTTTCTTGGACGCTCAATATCGTGCCTCCTTTGAAAAAAAATGAGTTGATAATAACCTTTTTATCATTACATTTATTAGTTATTGATTATTTGGAGATCGTGAGGAGATCTTCTGGTGTGACGTAGGTTTAGAAAAACATTTGGTTTATCGTCCCAACGTTTCATTTTTTAATTATTCGGAAATCGTGAGATGTGATATGGTGTCTTAATCATCGACTAACGGTCACTAATCACCACATGTTTCGTTCTTTATTGAGATCATCTTCAAGGATCAAAGTGTTTGTTTTCAGTGTTGTGTGAGTGCCAGTGAGATATTTAGTTTTTGTCATATACGATGGATTTTGAACTGGTGTGTAAGAAGTAGGGTTAGAAATCCATTTTTCTGTGAGGAGTCTGCTTTTTTGGGGTGAAAAGAGCCGACAATGGAATAAATTGGGTAATGGTTTGATGTTCGGCCTGATTCACCTTTCAGGATTATTACAGACGGGGATAATTAGGGAAAGAGGGACAAATAGTTGAAGAATTGAATGAAGAAGAAATACTCTTTCCTTAATTATCCACGTCCGTAATAATCCTGAAACGCTAACCAGGCTGAACGACATACCATTTTATCCCATTGTCGGCTCCTTTCACCTCAACGAAGCCGACTCCTCATAGAATAATGGATTTCAATCCCTACATCTTTCCCCACTCCTTCAAAAGCCAACGTATATAAACAATAAACATTATACCCAACTGCACTCTCAACAACACACAGCAATGACGTCACAAGTACATAGAAAAAAAAACACTGAGAGTACAAATACTTTGTTTACATCTAAAATTTCTATCATTGTATAAATTTAGTTTTTCACATCTTACACGTATTTGTATAATTTAAACAATGTTTATAAATCCCGGGCCCTGAAAATGATCGAAACGCACGATAGAGAACATTTTTTTTAAACCTACGTCACGCCAGACCGCATCTCACGATCTCCAAATAATCATTAATTAACGGTCACTAAATACCACATTTATACACACATATTACATTTATTACAGAAAAAGAAAAATTGTTAGGGGATTTTATAAATACGTATGTAATGAGGGTGGCTTAATGAAAATTGATCAGGTTATCTACATATTCTGACATTAGTAGCACTGTCTTCTATTGTTGTTAATTAAATTGACTGGTAGTATTGATATTAATTTATTATTACATTAAAAATTAAAATAAAAGAGTGTAACATAATATTGAACGTTTGCACACAGTCTACGAGATTTTGTTACCGATTCAAATCACGTCTTTCAACGATTTTTCAGAAGGGTACTACTACTCAGGGGGCTTATAACCCATAAAAATATGCGTTTTCTCTGATCGTCTTTTAAAATACCATTTATAATTTTGTAAACTGGTCAGTTATTTTGTCGCTGGTAACTATTTGATTTTTCACATTAAGGTATTTTACAAACAAATTCCAATTAATAAATTCAGATAAAGTTCCGTTCTTGTATGAGAGTGTATGATTTCAAAAACTTCTTAAAGCTATTTATTTGAGAACTGTACACATATAATATTTATTACTCCTAGAATCCACCATTCCAAAAAGACCAACACATTTATTTCATATCTATTCAGATCAGTAGTTTGTACAACTTCCTTGTATCCACCTTTAGCGTAGGAACACTCCTGTATCACCGGTAATAAAAAACACTATTTTTATAATTAAAGACCAATAAGGCTAGTACCATTTTTGGTAAAAAATGTAGAAACTCTTCTAACGCTATATGGCATGGAATACATGGATATCCGCCAACCATTCAAATAAAATGGTAGTACATTCTTCAGCAAATTTTACATATGTAATTTTAAATTTGACTTTGTATAGGCCAATAAGTCTACTACCCATTTTTGGGTAAAATTTTAGAAAGGGTCCTATTGAAAATAATTTTTTCAATTCTAAATTCTCAAAATATAATCACCGACCATTAATTTGGTTTTAACAATTGTCATTCAACTGTTCAATAGTGCATGGAGTGGTAAATATTCCTCCCTTGAGATGGGATAGTACTGTTCTGAGTCCTTTCTTGACGTAAGCTCAAGGGTATCCTTCCACCTTCTATCCCACACGGTACAGTTGCCTTACTGACCTATTTTTCCAAGTCATTGAAGGCCATTCCTTCTCTGCATCCTTATCCATGCTGGTAGGGGAGCGTTTTGATCCCTACAATAAATCAAGTGTTCACAGCTGTCATTCCAGTACACCCCCAAACCATCACATTTACATTTGCACACCATTCAGCAATTCTCTCTAGCAACTCCGATCTTTTAATTTCTAATCGAAACCTATTAGAGTCTTAGTGAAAAAAGAATAGGATAAAATTTAACGCACACAAATCCATCCACATTGTCTTTACTCTCAAATTAGACCTTCCTTCCTGTTTTCTTAAATAATATTCCCCTCCCAACAACGGACAAGGTGTGTTACCTCGGTCTGTTTATCGTCGGACGCCTGACGTGGTATCTTCACACAGACTGAAACGTCAGGTTATGACACGATGTAGAGCTCGTGCATACCAAAGTTAGGCCGTTCGGTATGGACTTGAAATGTGGGATTCAGCCACATTCCAACAACCGGCGCTTTCAAACTGCCAAATCCTTAATCCCACGAAAAATACTAGATACTCCATTCTGATCGAACCTAACTTAAATATTTCTTTCCTTCAAGATGAAAACCGTTCCCATTACCGCAAATTTTAACTCTCCCAACAACCGAAGATCAGCACATTCAAAACCTCGCATCGCAGAAACCTTCTCACTGACTGAAGAGACACCGGCCGCCAGAGCTCGTAAGAAGTGATGGTGACGATAGTGAAAGTGATAATGACCCAAGTATCAAGTAAGCATATAATATTTTAGTATCATTGGAATAATATTAATGCGTATTTTCTTCATTGTTGTTTTTAATTGTGTATATATTAGTTTGCTCATTATTACATGGTACTTACTTGAAAGTAGATGTAATATATGAAAAATTAAAAAAAAAGCAAATAAAAGTACATTAAAAGGTCAAAAATAACGCATTTTTTGTCTTGTATACTAAAAAAGAACTCGCAATTTAGGAATCTTAAGTTTTATATTTGTCCTTATAAATAAAAAACTGGTACTTCAAATCTATATATTATAGACAGACAATAAATCTTAAATGCCATTAGAATTAAACTTGTTTGAGTTTCAAGTTCAAAAGGTCTCATTGGTAATGAGAAAGCGAATGACCCCGTTGTAAATGCTCTGCAATCCGGTTTTATTGACCCTCAAATTATACCCCATTCCTGGGGGAGGGATAAATAATACCTTCGAGATTGTTATTTCCGAACGTTAACCGAACAATCGAGACGCGATATTAAAGCAATAAGACGTTTTATCTTATTGACAAATCCCACATTCAACTTTGTGCTTAAATGATGACTCTGGATGCTTAAAATATAAAATAAAGAGCATTTTCTGGTCATATGAGAAACGAAATTTTTAAAAATTTCTAATTTCATGTAAACTTTCGGTTTTATACGTTGTCCACAAAAGTCAAACGATTTGAACCTTCAATCCTTCTGTTTGTTATACTAAGTAGTAAGAAATGTATTCATTTTGACATTTGACTTACATTCTACGTCTAGGATTATCCTCTTGCTGACGGAAGGCGGAACGCTGTTCGACGCTATGCAAAGGTATGCGCCCATTTCGTTTCGTGTGATTCTTGTCAAATTGAGCTGTTCTCCTTCTTGGATATTGACTGGAAAACATTCAAAAAAGTTTAATTACTCTCCTGTTTTTCGAAATGAAAATATTACTTACTTTTCGTTTTCTTATCTATGTTGATAGGTTGTCCGTCCTCTCGTCTCCAAGAGAGTTTGGGCAGAGGAAGACCCTCGGCTTTACAAGTGAGGGAAACGTTTTGGTTTTCCCTGACAGCCACTGACGATGGCGTGCTCTGGTCGTCCAGGATATTAGGAGGAACTACAAAGAAGAGTGGCAATATGAAACTTAGCATTTAAAATTAATTACAGATTGCTCTTTGCTTGTGTGTATTCAGTCACAAAGAGATTTGATTGATTAATGTTTTATTTGTAGACACAACATATCATCAACCACTCTTACATCCAACGACTTGGTTTTGATTGAGAGAGAGAGGGGGGAGGGAGAGGGGAGAGAGAGAGAGAGAGAGAGAGAGAGAGAGAGAGAGAGAGAGAGAGAGAGAGAGAGAGATAAAGAAGATGAGAGAGATCAAGCTGTAAGGCAAAATAAGTAGATTAGAAAAAGCTATAGGTAAATAGTGAGAAAGTAGAATGGAAAACAAGAGAAAACTAAGAAAGCCGAGTAGTTAAAAGATAATGATCGTTACAAAGCGAGACAGGTAGGTAGATAGATAGATAGAGAGAGAGAGAGAGAGAGAGAGAAAGTGTTTGTGTGTGTGTTTGAGAGAGAGAGAGAGAGAGAGAGAGAGAGAGAGAGAGAGAGAGAACAGAATGCACATGAAAAAAAGTACAATGAGAAAAAAAAGTGAATCGAGTGAAAAAGTTTGGAGAAATAAAGCAAAGAAATGCGAGTAAGAGTGAAAGAGGGGGAGAGAGAAAGATAAAGAGGAAGCAAAATATGACATGTAAATAAAAAAAATTCTCGTTGAAAAATAGTTGGGCGTCATCAATTATCATTGTCATTTCCTTTATAATGGTAAGTGACATAATAACGTTTTGACATTTTATGGAAAATTCAAATTTTCTAATAGCATGGGTTAGAAATTCAAAGCTGGGATCTGTCATTTTTAATAATTCTCTTGAGTAATCCTTCCAGGAGAAAAGCTAATTTCAAGGACGTAATAATTAATCTCCGTGATATACGGAAGCCATTTGTGGGTTTTGTGTTAAGCGGGGATTACAGTAAAGTATCTTCCGCTGTTTACTCTGTTCCGGTTAATAAGGAATTCCAGTAGGTTCTCACACCTATTTGCCCTTCATTGATTGGAGTTAGCAGCCTTATCCGTGTCTATAGGTAAATATCAATGTAGACGATTTCTCCTGGTCTCGTTGAGTTGGTGACACTTCCTTAAAGTCAGAAACCTAATACTATATTCAAATCAGGTTTCAACCGAGTGCAGCACCCCGCAGGTGGAGCGACCCTGCGGCCCCGCTGGCTTGTTTGCATAAATCAATGAATAATTCAGAATGAATTTTAAAAATAAGAGAAAAAGTGGAGTGTATAAGTAAAACTTGCTACCGTCTGGAAATAGTATGCATCCCTTCTGAAATTCCATTGTCCCCATAAAGAAAAAGAGATAATTTAATGAATTTTAATGGAAGATTTTTTTTTTAAATTTTGTTTGTTAATAAACAATTTTTACCTTTTATTAATTTACTATTTAAGGGTATAACCCCAGTTACAAGTAGACATCTTATAGAAAATTTTGAAATAAATATTATAAAATTTTAATATACAATTAAAACTAAATTAATAAAATAAAACAAAGTATGCAAAGACTTACTTTTTATTTGAAAACCACTAATTGCATGTAGTAAAACAGGCATTATCTTTAAGTTGATTGAGAGATACGTGATAATGATCAACAGTTGAAGGTTAAGTACTGATACAGTATGCTGGAGTATCTAATGTAATTGGTAAAATGTGAATTTTTATAGAACGTAATTAAAATGCTGTCAGGTGTTTCAAAGAGATATGCAAAATTTAATATAAGAAAGGACATGAGACCTTCAATATGAATGTATATCGGTTTATACAATTCGAAGTATCAAAAATTAATCTTCGGATGTCTACCTCTGATCACATTACTGCAATTTTTGCAAGAGTTCCAGTACGCGTCCGACCAATAGCCAAATGGAGCAAACTTTGGAGGATAAAGATAAATAAAAACAAATGTGCTTTATTTCTACAGCCCGAAGAAAAACCCTAAAACCGACTACGATACTACGTTGTGTTAAACAGACTCTCCAGACTAATCTCTAAACTACTTGGCTGCCAAAATATACAAATATTCACCAAATTCTGTCCTTCCGATTCAAAGTGCACGGATTCATAAACAGCGCTCCCTACTGTCTCCAATACCACAATGAGCTCAAAATACCCTTTGTAAATAAATTAAACCCAACATAATTTTCTAGATTCCACGATAAACTCTCCATTCACCCCAACCCATTAGACCAATATCATCTAACCCTATAATCCCGTCCGACGACTATAGTAGAGACGACCCCAGGACCGCGTCCGGAAATAGCCCTTGAGTAAAGTTGGAAGAGCAACAATCTTAGATAATTCCTCTCCAGACATTTGCAGGGTCAGTGTTATTTGTAAATATGTATCATAACATTGAGTCATACAAATGGCGATAAAACCGTTAACAAAAAGGGGGTACAAAGTTTTAAGTCAAGCCAGAATAGGTCATAAAGGGTATTTTTCTGGAAATAGTAAGAAAGACGATCTTCTACAGCTTGTTCTTCTTTACCTTAATTTTATGTAAATTTCTTTTACAGCTATCCATTTTAGGCCATTTTTCCGACAGCCTTCTCATAGCTACCATGATTAAAGTAAAACTCTTTTGTTATTGTAATAATAAAACAAACTTAAAATTAACCAGCAGCAATGTGATGAATTTATGTTTATAGATATAATTATTAGTTGGATTACTCTTGCGGATTGTGTGCATATATAGATTTTTGTATGAAACTGGAAAGATAAAAAGTAAATAGAATATATTTTTTTAAGTTAAGAAAGGCCTTATTTTTTTGAAAACAAGATTCATAGTTGGACAAAAAAATTTATAGTGTGTTAAAATTTTTATTATAGACTCATAGATAAACAATGACAAACTAATATATAAAAATCAATATAAAATATCATTTATAAAAGTTTAAACAAGAAAGGGCCAATTAGTAAACTTGAAGGAACGTCGTTGAAGTCTATCTTTGAAGTCCCTAAAATGTTAATTTTACAGTAAATTTGATTAACCAGGTACATTGAAAACCGTATTAGATTCATTTATTTTTTTTTACTCTAAGGTTAAGCAAAGAAAATACAAAAGCAGTTTCTAACGTTCTTTCATTATGTTTAAGTGAGATTTCCTTGGCTTTGTAAATGCTGACAGATATGGCGCTTTTAGAAACAGAAACATTGAACACCTGATCTTAATTTCATTAAGGTCAATTTTCAGCAATGTAAAACTTACATTAAATTGTTAAAGATTTTTCGATTACAAATGGTTTAAAAACTTAGACATTATGTCAGTGAAACTTTTCTTTAAAAAATTATTAAAATAATATAAAGTAAATAAAAAGACATTTTGGTACAAAATTATATATAAGAAAAAACAAGATGTTTCTATAAATTATGCTAAAATGTTCAAAATATCCACCTTTATATATAACACAAGTCTGACAACGAATCCTGACAGATTATAAGTCTGTCTAGAGTTCATTATGCTTCTCTCACAAGGGCACATGATTCTTCAAACTTATCTATGAGATCATTCACAATTGTGACAGGCACCGAATAGACATCATTTTTAAGAATTCCCTATATGTAGATGTATTTTTATTAAAACTTATAGACAGATAAAGCTACTCACTGTTACTCAGTCTGTATTTCCTACGTTTCCAACAAAGAAATGGATCTAGTAGGACTTTTAATACTCTTTCCATTCATATAATCACATTTATCGTAAGACTAACATTTTTCAAGTGAAGGAAAAAAAGTTTGAAGTAACACGAAGAGTGAAATATCTGTAATACAATTGAGAAACAGATTGTGGACAATACGGACTTTTTCCGGGACACCCTGTATAATACATATTTGTTGATGAGCAGCAAAACAATTTATATTATAGTCCTGACATAAGTTTAAATTGGTTGTTGTTGATCTAGCTAAATGAAAACTATGCTGTTGTGGTTTAATTTAAACTTTGAAACAATAGGTTGAAGTTTGTTGATAAGTATTTCTATAACTGTTTGTTTATTAAATAGTAATACACTCGCATATAAATTTATTCAACGTTTTTTTCCACAAATTGAATTTCTTTAAAATATTCGTATTTTGTAAAATAATCATTTAAAAACAAGAGAGAACATTGAATGCAAGTGGTTCCACTCTATGATGTCAATTCCGGAAGCCACTCGATTCAGACACGAGGGGTACTCCAGTTTCAGAGCTATTCATGGGATGGCCATGATGGCCTTCTCTTCGCGTATGAAAGCCGAGAGAAATAGGGACAGAAAGATAGATTTTCAACGGTTAATTAAATACTACGACTACATTTTTCATTTACTCTTTTCAACGATTTATTTCAAGGATATTTCTAAATTTCAGTTTATTTTTTTAAGTTCGAAACGTTATTACGTTTTTATTGATAGTACCTTGTTGGGCTCAAATTAGTTTAATACGAAAAGCGGGTACCTGCTCCCGTAATTAAAGCCGGAGTGAACCGTTGCGTTTAATTCTCTCCTAAGACTATAGTTATTAAATATGGTTCCAAAGAGAAAAAAAACTAAATTAATTTAAAACATCAGCCTTTGAATGGACTATACATTTGTTTAAAAAACATAACGTCCTAATTGACCCATTATAGCGTAAATGTTCAAATATGATCTTTCTAATTTGCAATAAATAAATTGAAATTTTGTAACTCTGCAAGTTGCAAGTTTTATATTAATTTAGTTGTATATATTTTTTATTTAATTTTAGGATATATATCTATATAAACCTTCATGCCTTGAGTATGAAAAAAATTGACGGAGAGCTTATTTTGACGAGTCACATTGTGCTTCCATTAAATTGTGCTTTTCCAAAATCCTTCGCTCCTACCAAACGGAACGATTCTTCGGAGTTTGCCAAGAATCGGATTATATCGCTTGAGTTATTATAAAAGAACTAGCATTTTAGTTCCACTCTGATTATTTTGTTGTAATACTAAATATAGAACCAAAGGTACATTTTTTACTAAGTACTTAGAATTTTGATGTGTTAGAACCTGGTGGTCAACTTTTTTCATATGTAATGCCCTGATTTTTTTCAGAGATTTTGAAAGGCCTTTCTGTACCAAAAAATTGTTATCTGAAACTCCAAATCAATTAGATGAAAATAAAATATAAATCATCTTCAACCATCGATTTATTCTACAAATATTGAAGTTTTCTTTTACAATTCAATAAACTTGTTTTATCGCTTAACTCATGGAAAAAATTGAAATTAACTAACAAAAATGAAAATTTATTTTTTTGTTGATTTTTTAAACCTAACTTTAAACCACAAAAATTAATCAAAATCATCATTAAAAATTATCGAGTTATGAAAACGAATTTCAACATTCCTTCCAACAGAAGAAATCGTAGATTTTTGAATTTGTGATATATTTTTTTCATTGAGAGCACTTTGTAAAAAAAGGCATTAGGTTTTTAAAAAATCGTTGTCCACCAGGCCAACTATCGTGGCACCTTATTAAAAATCTAATAAAAACAGGGGATTCGACGTGAGAAATTTCTGTTGGAACAATTCTTACAATTAATGTTGCAATAAAACTGGCAGCGGAAAAATAAAAGGCCATGTCTTTCATAAATACCTCATACAGTATATTATAATGTCCTCTGGGATCAATAGTCCCAGAGGGCAGACTTTCTCGGGTTAGGTTTTATTTAATCTGATATCAGTTACGTCGAGATAATAAAAATGATCCAATAACGAAAAGAAGAAGAAATATGGAAATATCACACTTGATGGAACTTACGTTTTGAGTTTTATATTAAGTAGAAATGTGTTTTCTCAAAAATAGAGCACGGCACAAAATCGGTGATGATAATAAGTGTTCAACTGAGGATAGACTTAATCCTCTTCCGACGAACCTGTGAAAATATTTCGTATGTGGCAGGAAGAGATTGAGGAGACAGTTTACGTCGGGCGAGAATTTATTGAGGCGGGATTTGAAGAATTCCGCTACAGGTGAGCAAGTGGATTTTTCACGAAGAGTGGCTATTTTGCTGAATCGATTTTAATCTTTTTGTCTGAATCGGCCCTGATCTCGGTTTGTGAATTACCTAACTGCCAAAAACGCGGATCCATTAGAAATGGATTAATAATAAGTCCTCCGCCCAAAGAGATTGTAGCCCAGAACAAAAGCCTGTGATAAAATTTATCAAAGGATCATCGCAGAAAGTAACAGATCTACTATCTACTCTAAACAGTAGAACTAGATCTAGCGTAATAGTTGGACTGCTAATTGGACACTCCAGACTCCCGAAGCATATGTATAGACTTGGAGTGGCAGAAACAACAAATTCATAATTATGCGAGAAATAAGCCGGCTGATTTTAATAACTTGAGCGAACAATAGGTGGAGTATAACAGTAGCAAGTGTATCAGGAAATCGTTCCATTTATATTTCAATAGATTGTCAGGCCGGAGGTATTCATATTGCAACAGGCCACGGCCCGCTTAAAGAAGTCGAATTATTGATCATCATTTTCACTCATTAATTCAACGAGCCATTAAAACACTAATGATCTTTTCTTTGGGTCATCTTTTTTTAACGGAAAAAAGTCAACTAGAGACTACAATGGAGTACCTTACGAAGTCATTATATATTTGAACCAAAAGAAAAGACAGGGCAATAAAAGAATCGTGTTATTAATAATGATTATCAGATTAAAACAACTACAGAAAAGAAAAAAAAAGGCCGTTTTATAATTAATCAGATTTGTTGTTTCAAAGCATTCATGAAAATAAAATTACTAATTAATCATGTTTACATAAAATAATACAAAAGGATAAGATAAGACAGTTTCCCTTCAAATCGTTAACCAAATAAAAATACCAATTCTCAAACAAAATAAATAATTTTGTTGATGTGTCCAACTAGGACGAAATGTTTTAAGATTTTTTCTCCAGGTTTGGAGATGATGGATTAACACGCTGGGTTGTTTCCGTCTATTTTGATCTGTTTTTTCTCGCTGTTTTAGTTTACTCGGACGAAAAAATTTTGTTTATATGATAGATAAATTAACTGACGATACTTTCTATCTATATATTGATATTTTTCTTTATAATATATACCGTGTATAAATAGAAAGATCATTTCTGTTCATTAGAAATCAAAGAGGTTGGTTCATTACCTGTGCAAGAACTCGCCTGTTATTATTGTTTAATATAAGAAAAAATATTTTACAATTGGTTAAACCTTGTTTGACACGGAGAAAGAAAATAAATGAGAGAAAATTACTTAATTTTTTATGTAAGGTTTTGGTTGATATGAAAAACCCCCACGACCTTCGGCTAAATACGCCGCTGCACTAACCTCTCGGACACCAAAATGGTAAAAAGAGGTAAAATTCGAAAAGTTGTAGGTTGAGTTGGGGAGTTGGTGTCCGAGTGGATCGAAGTCACGATAGCCCTCGTGGTAGAGCAGCGGCGTATTTAGCCGAAGGTCGTTTGTTCGAATTCCGCTCGTGGCACTAGCTTTTTCATTTCCACCAAAACCATACAAAAAAAAAGATTAATTACTTGAAAGAATTAATTTGGTAATTTCCCACTAAATATAATGAATTTAAAAGAGAAAAAATTGAAAGGAGAATACGTAGTATAAAAACCATCAATAAAATAGTATAAAATAATGAAATCAAACGTGGTGTGACAGTGTTAGGAAATAGAAAGATGTAATAAAATATATTTACATACTTAACCGTCAATAAGTTACCTTGAGTCATAAACATTTATGGCGAAACAAATCCATATAATATGAAATGCCTAAATTTTTATGGAAAAATTGGAAACAACCGCATCTCTTACGAAGACACAAATGTTAAATATTATTTCAAAAAACTATTGAAACTAAAAATAGTAAAACTTTATATCATATACAATTCGAACTTCCTGTTAAGTCTTTCCAATCTTCAGGTCTATAAATATTTTTTTTAGAGTCGAAATGTCAAAACAACGTTTAACTGACAACAAAAGCAAGAATAGTCAGGCTGAAGTATTCAAAAACGACCGAACTTCAACATTTTTAATCTTTAATTAAAGTAATTAATCTTTCATATCAATAATTTTTCATCTTTGGGCAAGCATAAACTAGTATTAAAAATAATTCCAGTCATATATTAAAGCATAACATCCAATTATCTTCTGAGTGTCGAAGTTGAATCAGCTCAGTTTGCAATACGTCTCCATAGTATCTGGACTACGACGGGGTTCGAACCCAGAACCGCTAATGTGATAAATACATGCCGGATGCCCGAAGGTTAGGCATACTTTTGGAAAGTCAGATAGCTATAAAGGCACAAAATGTTTATGCTTTTAGATTGGAACTATCCTGGACATGACTAATTTGTTTAATTATTCTCGAAAAATAATACGGTTATTTGGAGGAAGTTATGGAATATGAAGGTGTAGAAGAAACCTAACAGGCTGACCAATGAGTCAATGAAGTTCAGCCCGGTCCCCCATAGTTAGGGAGCACTACTAGGCATTGGATAATGTGATAAAGTTGGAGTTTCAGAAATAGCTTGAGAAGGAAAAACTCAAGCACGGAACAAAATTACGAGGTATGAGGTAAGCTAAGATATCATAACTCTAAAAGAAGAAAAAAAACGCTATTTCGTATTTCTCTCTCCTCACACTCTCTCTTTCTTTCTCTCTCTCTCTCTCTCTCTCTCTCTCTCTCTCTCTCTCTCATCAGTCAAGATTTGAAAACAATTATAAGCTTTTAACTAACACCTACATAAGATGAATAAAGCAGAGATATAAACATGCCGATTTAAGCCCGACACTCCAACTACTCGACCACGCCGTAATGTAATACATAACTATTATGGAAAAAAAGTAACTATATTATATATCCGAGACCACAGACTGAATTTTATGTGCTCTTTATTATTATGCTATAAATATAATCAGAAAATATTATAATAATTAATTACTGTCTTTTTCACGTTGTTGTTTGGTTAGTCTGCCCTTGTAACCAATGTATTGTTTTTTAAGTCCAGAAAACTAATTATGAAGATAAAATGAAGACAAAATACCGTCAAATCACACTTTTTCTGTTACAAACAGTCTTTACTATTGTTTTGTAATAATAATTTGGTGTTGTTTGGTGTACATTGAATGTCCAAAAATGCTAATTATACCATTTAACTACTTGTAATGTAGTACTTACCTACTACTTGTAAGTACCCGACTTGACTGATCATCGGGTTCGTATTAACTTGGCACATGTAGTAGCCCCGATCTTCCTGCTGAACCTGGTTAACGTTGAGCAGCCATGTTTTGTGGTTGTCGTGGGAAACGCTGAACCTTGGCATCCTCGCAATGACGTGCCTATGGATAGTCAGTATCATCTGACGGTCAATGTGGATCCAGGCCACCTGAAAACATAAAAAATATCAAAAATTGTGAAATTTCTTCTTTGGCTGTTCGTGGCGATGAACAGTCAGTTTACTAATTTCCGATCATTCATCAAAGTTTGTATGGGAAAAGTTAAAAGGAAGGAGAAGAAAAGAAAATCAAACGCCGAATCTCAATACACTTAAAAAATATATAATGAAAGTGTAAGAAATGCAAATGTTTTATATCCATTTATCCAAAAAATAAATAAAATGTGTGAATTAAACGTGTTAAACTACACTGATTTTTGAAGTCTATATTAGAGAAACGCAAGTTTAAAATTAACTGCTAGGGCCAGTATTATTTTTATCTATGTAACCTCTCAGTAGTTTATTTACACCTTAATCAATGATGATCACATCAGAATATTTGTTTTTTATGGTTCGTATAAATGTTGTTGAAACATTAATAATAGCGATATTCAATATTTTACATTCAACATTTACGTGATATGATCATTTATGCTTAACAATGAAAAAAAAAATAGACTTTAGTGGAGAAATTGTAAAAAACGAAATATTCTCCAACTTCTTCAACTACGAACCAATTGACTCAACAAATTAACATTTGAATTAGAAATAAATAAATAAAATTTGAAATAAATGAACGCTCGTACTTTTATCTCACCATCCTGGAGAGTTAGATCAAATACATTTGTCTCTTCAGAAATTGGACAAAAAATAAAAGTTTACGTGTCTTGCGGATTTTGACTAAAAAAATAATGAAGAAAATAGAGGGGGAACAGAAGGTAAGCTCACCCTGTATACGTTATTATTATGAAAAAAGTAAGAACTAAGTTGACGCTTTAATCTTTCCTCCTCCTAAAAAAAAATCAACTTTATCAAAGGCCATCTAAAACATATCTCTCATTTCAGATTTTCAGAAATTTCTGCCATTATCATTTATAAGCAATAAATATTATATCTTGTAATTAAAGATGTAGGTTGGTAAATATAGGTTAAGACAGGCAATTAGGAAGAGACGGTGGTGTGAAGTTTCCATAGGGCAATTAGCGCCTCGGGAATTAACTCTCCATAATTATTTCAGCCGGTAGCAATTTAGCCGGGGGAAAAACTTGCCCACTTATTAATCTTTTCTACAAGTAACATTTTTAAAAATAATGTCTGTTACACCTGCAAAGTTGGCGTATAATGCAAATTTTTTTCAAACATAAATAGACATGATTTATGACATAATTTATAATACTTAAATACTTCAATAATTCATACGGACTAGCCAAGTAAAGTAAACAAAGCTATATATATATACATATATATAATTGTAACCCTCTTTCTTTTTGATCAGGTATAAAAACCGCCTGCCGTCGGATGTCAATTTTTAAAGTACATCGTTTTGTTTATTAAAAATTAATTGTAATTCCACAGAATTTCACGAATTACATTCTATTAAAGCGGCTTGCGGTGGCCGCGTTGTTAGCGTAAAACAATAAAAAATAGTACATGTTATATATTATACTTTGGCGATGATAAAAAAGTAAAGTACAAAAATTAACAAAAAAATATAAATAACACAATCAAGACGAACAAGAAAAAACTCATATAAATTTTTAACTACAACTATAAAATAAAAACAACAACAACGAAAATGTTATTGGAATTAAAGCAGAACTTTAAACTGCCTTTCCCTTTAAAACACCGCTGTGTTTTTCACCTTTTTTCAATTTCATTACATGTTTCTATGTTTCTTTCTGGTAATTCCTGCGGGCTATTTATGGGCCGTAAATTTCGATTAAATAGGTTTTTTAACAATAACGCCAAAGAATAAAACCTCACAGGATAAAATCACGCCAAGAGAAAAACCACGGCTGTTTGTCCACCGATTAGTGCATAGATAATAACAAAAATTTTTTAGTAATATGAAAATATGAGCAGCGCGCTCTATCGACTTGGAACCATATAACACCACTTTGGCGAGTAGTCTGAAACCCGCCTATAGGCTAGGCTAGGATTGAATGTTAGTGAATGAGATAGTTTCAGAGCCTTTTCACCACGTGTGGGAGGGCTAAAATTGTAGAAATAACGTCCCAGAACACAACCAGAAAGATCGCCAGACTTCCTACAAAAAAGCTAATTAAAAAAAAAATTAAATTAAATTAAAAGATAAATAAATGTATAAAACGTGAGGTGGAAGAAATGTGAGGTGCCGGCAATAGCCCAGGCAGCTAGCCGGCCGAAAAAAAAAAAAAAAACACTTTGGCAACCGGAAATGACTTCATTAAATTCAGGGATATATTTCAAAAGCGTAATGAATTCAATTTTCTTCAAAAATGTATTGCCCTATGAAAATATTTCTTATGAACCAGCGGATGAAACAAAAAATCCGAAGAATTCCTATAGTGCTATTTACAAATCATATATCTAGGTAAGTTCTACTGCTATGGATTTCGTTTAAACATCAGTACCTCAAAAATATGAAGGAAAAAACCTGGGGATCTTGACAAAAAAGAATAATTTTGATACCCAGTAAAACTGGAATAGAAAAAACTTATTTAGTCAAATAAATACTTTAAAATAAATGGGGATTACAATTTAACTTTTTATGTAGAGTATTTAGTGGCCGTTAATTAATGATTATTTAGAGATTGCAAGACCACAACGTTTCTCATGATTTCTAAATAATCATTTTTTTATACTCGGTTTTGGTCATAATAAAAGTGGCTGTTTCGTAAGGAAGGTGACACCCGTTATATATGTATGTATATATTTACCTGGGATTTACAAACAATTTCGCATCTTACATGTATTTTTACAATCTAAACAACGTTCGTAAATCCCAGGCTCTGAAGATGACCTAAATAAAGATCGAAAAGTTGGCACATTAAAGAAAATGGTTTGGTAAACCCACATCACACAACTCCGCATCTCACTATCTCGAAATAATTATATATATAATCATAATTCATCGTACAATGAATTTATACGATCAGTTTTGATAGATAACTCTACTTTTAGTTAAATAATTTTTGAAAAATGATAAATGATATTAAATCTGAAAATAAGATATTCCAAAAGGAAAAAGCATTACCTCAGAAAAAAATTTAAAAAGCCATCGCACAACAAATCTTTTTGTTTAGAAAACTGAGATAAATCGAAATAAATGCATTTATTTCTTTTTCAACTAGCTATATTGGGATTTACCTACAGTTAATAATTAATTTAAAAAGGGTCGGAAGGAGGTCAACATCCATCTCTCTGAGTTTACAACAAATATATTTTAAACAATCCATTATATTTAGTGGTCTGACTGTCCATATTACTTCTTTCAATCAATTAATCTTTTTATGTAAAATTTTGCTTGAAATGAAAAAGTTAGCGTCACGATCAACACCCCAAGCCGATGTTCGTGGGTTCAAATCCCGCTCGTGACGCTACCTTTTTCATTTCCACCAAAACCTTACGTAAACAAGATGTTTAAAAAATTATGTTAATGTTCAATTAATGCATGCTTAACTATGATGTCATTGGAAAATAATAATGATGTTCGTTTAATGTCATATAAAGTGTATATTTTAATGTATAACGTTTAACGTATTTTTTTAATTTTATCATATATATTTATAATTAATAGAAAATGTTTGACGAGTCAATGTTTTTTATCACACTAGCGTTACTCGAGTAACAGGCACATGATTAAGATTAACAATTTATTACAATTTGCTATATTTTATTTTGGATCAAACATTTATCCTCCGGTACGGTTTTTGATACCAGGGCGGTTTTACTCTCATCATTTAACTATTGGTTTCACACATTTTCAAGGATTAAATGTATATACAATATTTGTAGGAGCCTTTTATTCAATGATATTTTTGTATCCACTATCGTATATTAAATTGAAAGAAATGATTTATTTTTGTGTTATGCTATTCCATTCGCTTAGGGACGTAGGTACTATTTTGTCTTGTGGCTGTTACTCAGGCAACATTATTGCTATAATAATGATGACTGATTAATACAAATAATATGCATTAATTGTAAATTTATATTGTAAAAGTTATGTTAGAAAAATCTTCAGTTACGTGTAGTTGGCATTAAATATAAACAATTTTTTCTGTAAAATGAAATAATAGTTAAGTAATCATTATTTTAACGATAATTATAAATTTATTGTAAACTCAAGCTTGATATTCGAGGAGCTGACTTCTTCAAACTTATTTAATAAACTAAAATCACAATTGCATTTCCATTATGCTCTCCTTCTTAAAGCCGAAAACATGAAGAAGCAATTGTAAAACCGAAAAAATTTGCCAAGGAATACACAGATGAATTTCCCGCATTCCACATTCCAGGCGATATGAAACAGCCTCCAATATGTTTCTAGCTGCGCGTTTATGTAAAATTCATGAGATCAATCATCGGCGACCGGGCAACACTGCCACATTTGTATGATTAAATTGTCACGTATTCATGTGGGAGGATCAACAAGTGTTTGTCGACTTGTTGCCTTCGAATAAGAAACGCCAACGGTCTCATATATCTGAATACATAAGGAAAATTTCCATTTGGAGCCTCGGGAATTTTAAGCAACTCCAAGGTAGGAAGGTGTAAATCACAGCTTACCTTGTAGTTGCCCAAGTTGTCGACGACGCAAGGGAGAGACGCGTCTCTTCCGAGGGCCACCGTCACGTTAGGTATCGGCTCTGCGAATTTTGGTCCTTCCGTCAACGCTACAACAAAACCAAATATCGGTTATAACAAAAAAAACAATCTATACTCAAATTTAGTAATACGCAATACTGTATGTGTTAAAAAATTTAAAATCCTAAATATACGAATAGAATTCACTAGTTTTCGTGGTCCGCTTGACCAATTAATACCTTTCAATTAATTAAGGTTTTTATTTGAGATCAAAAAGTCAGTGTTACGAGCGGAGAATCAAATAGATTACACGACATTTCAAAAATGGCAAAAAGGACGGAAAATTCAAAAGGTGGGGTTGAGATGGGAAGTTAGTATCCGAGTGGATCGATGTAACGATAGCTCAAGTGGTAGAGCTGCGGTGTATTTAGCCGAAGGTCGTGGGTTCGAATCCCGCTCGTGGCACTGACTTTTCTGTCTCAACTAAAAACCTTAATTAATTGAAAGATACGAATAGAATGTTAAATCATCGCAGTGCTTAGTCCAGTATTGCAACAACACATACTATCAAAATTACAGTAAATATTAAAGAAAAATCGGAGAAAATAAAACGAAAAGATATTTTTGAAATTCAAAGCGAAACCAATGCTTATTCTATGAAACAGGTTGAGCAGGCCTTTCTTTATGAACAAATTACGATAAGGAAAAATTGCATAACCTAATGTTAAGTAAATATTTATCATATAATATCATCAAATATAGTTAAAGAAGGTATAAAATTTAGTAAAGGAACAAAGGGAAGAAAAGTGTTTCTTCCAAAACCAATTACGTTAAATTTTAATCCGTCATATGAAGTATCAAAACATTTTAGAAATACGCAATTTGATGATCTGAGCTCGGCGAAATATTTGTCTGTAATTTTGCAAATAAGTAAGTTTTTCGTCCATTTTTCGTATTATATGAAAAAGTATTTTAAAATGTGTGGTGTTTAGTGACCGTTAGTGAATAATTATTAGGAGATCGTGAGATGCGGTCTGGTATGACGTAGGTTTTAGAAAAACATTTGCTTTATCGTACCAACGTCTCGATCTTTATTGAGATCATCTTCACAGCTCAAAGTGTTTGTTTTCTGTGTAGATGTGGCATTCCTGTAGGTCGTGTTGAGAGTGCCCTTTCGAAGTGAGAGGTTTGTTATGTTTATAAATCCTAGGCTCTGAAGATGATCTCAATAAAGATCGAAACGTTGGCACGATAAAGAAAATGTTTTTCTAAAAGCTACGTCACACCAGACTTCATCTCACGATCTCCAAATAATTGTATTTTAATATAATATATCAACCTTCAATTTCTCCTTTTTCGACAGCTGAGATGTCTTGTCGAACTGTATAACTGTAGCCCCGCAGACCGTCACAAGGAATCCGATTTGAAAAACCGACAAAATATAAAAGCAACTATTTTCTTACAAAATTAATATGTAAGCAACAACTTCTAAAAAAAGTATCTTGATCTCTTTGAGAAATATTTTCTAACTGAACAAAAATTGCGCTTACAAGGAGTTGACATATAGTCTTAAATAAGCACATATTTATACATGTGTTTCAAAGAAAGAAGAGGGATTTTCAATTGTATACATTACATTTTTTTAAATTGTAAATAAATTTGTTGTTACGGTAAATACTATTTTCTTTGCAAATAAAGTTTGTTAATAATTATTTAATTGAAGGCAATTAATCAGGGTCTACTCTGATATATCTAAGGTATTATTTCAGTGAAGGTGATCTTCATATATCTCTGGGATCTAATGTAAATATAATATTCATAAATATCACAATTAAAATAATTGTTACAGCTATATAATTATTTGATACCATTATTTCTTAAATATTGAGTAATATCATAAAACGAAGAATGAATGCTGTATTGTTTAATGAAGACATTGTAAATGAAGTAATGAAGTTGGGATAACTAGAATTCCGTTGATATTAATTCCACTTTCGTCATTCTTCTTCCTTTTAACATGCAAAAAAACAATCTTTCAAGTTCGCTAATTTGTTATAATGAATTAATCGGCTGTATATCGATCAGAAGGTGGTTTAGTTATTTAACTTGGATGAAAGCGTAGGTTCCAAAGTTTTGCGAGAGGGGCAGGGTCATTAGTGGGCAACTTTTACCTAACTCTAAAAGCGTTAAATACCAATTTGCCACATTCTAGTAACATGTGCACAACATTGATCATTCGTTTTAATAGATTTAAAAATCGCGTTTCCTGATAACATAAGAAACGAAATGAGCATTTCTTTGTTGAGAGAAATCGTTGTATGGTGAAGTTAAATGGCTGTCTCATAAAAGTTTCTTTTATTATTAACATGTCAACAAATCTTTAAACTAAAAAAATTAAAACATTTGTGTGTATAGGTGTGTATGTGTGAGAAAGAGAGAGAGAGAGAGAGAGAGAGAGAGAGAGAGAGAGATATAGAGAGGGAGAGTGAGTGATAGAGGGACATAGATAGAGATAATGAATGAATGTCTCAGAATTTGGTCAAATACTGACGACTTTTACCTTCAACAATAAGGCAGAGACAAAATATAATAAAAGAGAGAGAGAGTAAGAGTGAGAGGAGGGAGAGAGTGTATCGAAACAAATTAGAAAAATGGAAAAGTTAAAAAGAGTAAATAGAGAAATCAAGCAATGAGGCAAAATAAGTAGATTAATAAAAAATATAGGTAAAGAGTGAGAAACCAGAGTGGAAAAGTAAAGAGAAAGAAAGCGGAGTAGAAAAGTAGTTAAGAGATAAAGTTAGTTACAATGAGAGACAGATAGACCAATAGTTATATAGATAGATAGTTAGATAGATAGATAGAGAGAGAGAGAGAACAACAAAAAACCATTTTACACTAATAGACCACAATTGGTATGTGGTACATCTATTTTTTTTCAAAAATTATTTTCTACAGAATTCACTTCATGGAGCATTAAACGAAATTTTAGTTTCCAATTCTTCTACCTTTAAAAAACGAAGTGCAATGTGAAACGGAATCTTAATAAAGCCCCACGATTAAAGTCTTTAAACAGAAAAAAATGCGTTCTAACGTTAATATTATATGAACATAAAAGGAATTCCATTAATAAAAATGTTTCACAACAGGGAAACCCGTCCTTTTACCGTTTTTCTCGCTGCTCTGTTTGCTCATACGTTATAAAGAAACTAAAGTATTTTACCCTCAATGGAGTTATGGTGAAAAACCAAGAATTTTTTAAATGACGGGTTAAAATGAAAGAAACGTTAAAATAATGACATCGTTGTTTGTGTTGTCGTTTTCAAACTTTTAACCAACAAAAATAATTATAAAATACGTACTGCCTGTACTTATGTGTATGGATGCTAGCAGAAATAGGCTTCGTAAACATTTTATTTATTTATATATATCATATTTCATCTATATGTAGTGAAATCCGCAGGGGAAACAACGAACATCACTGGAAAACTTACAAGTAAACAAAAACTAGAAAAATATGATAAACAGTTAGGGATGATTAGGTGAGAGTGATTTGAGAAAGTGGGAGGAAATAGAACAGCATTGACAGGAAACTAAACGAAAAATAAATAAAAACTATATATCCTTAGTTGATAATATTTTTACGAGGGTATTTAAACTACGAGGTTATAAGAACAACTCGTGGTGCTGGTGTTCTTGAAAAACAGCCTATTTGTAAGGCAAGGATTTGAATAATTTTGGGTATTGCCAGATTACTTTTATTTACAAAATAGGTAGCTGCTTGACTAAATTTTCGAAGGACGAGAGAGAGAGAGAGAGAGAGAGAGAGAGAGAGAGAGACCCGTATACATGTACTTTAGAAAGTGGCAATTTCACATTCTCATTAAAACTTTTGAGCCTCCTTATTTGTCCTGATTTTTGAAATGGAACAACTGTAGTTTTAACTGTCCTTACCTGGAGCCTATTCACCGCACAATATTCACACAGAAGCTGTTGTTTAAACTGTGTGTCATGCCAGAAATAAGAAATGATAGCAACATTATCTGCATAAAGTAACATTAATAAGTTTATCAATGCTAATTCCCACAGTTCATTTGCTTTGAAGAAGTGATCATCATAGAAAAGAGATAGAAAAGAAGAATTGACTCCTTGACGAACGCCTGCACAAATGTTAATTGCCCCAGAGGTTCCTTCATTACCATCAATTTTCATCTTAGCTTTAGAGTAAAGCTGTGACAAATTTCTTATAAATTTTAGACTGATTCCAATATCAAACGGCTTCTCAAACAACTTTGAATATGAGAGTATCAAACGCTTTACTGAAGTCCGCAAAAATGAAAAATAGTGCTTTTATGTAAGTGTAATTGAATATTAGTAATAAAACTCAACATAAATATTGCATCATTGCGTTCTCTTTATTTGCGGAAAACCATTTGTTCTTCGGGGAGCATGTTATTGTCTTCAACCCAGTTTATGAGGTTATTATTATATTCAGGTATCGACTAAATTTGATTATACTCTTATTGATTGCGATATTATTGGTTTTACATTATATATTATTGATATTATTATTTGCGCCACCCTCCCAGAGTACAACCCTGTTTATCAGCCGTATGGATAAAATACTGTTGGTTAAATAATTTACCTACATTATTTAAAAAGGCAATTCCTCAATAGTTATACGCATCCTTCAGGTTACCTCTTTTAAATTGTAGTTTTAATTTTACTAAACCCCAGTCTTTGGGTATTTCTTCAGAAAAAAAGATTCTATTAAAGTCGTTTTGCAAATATTGGATCCAAGTTGGTACAAGTTATTTATAACGTTCATTTGGGATCATATCATTTTTAGCGGAGAAAATAACTAATTGGATTTCAACAAATCATTACAATCATATCTATAGAATCATCCAACCCCCAGATAAAAACTCAGATGGCTATGGGTGGAATTGCAAATGGACCTGTAATAACACTCCCTTTCATTAATACTAATAGATACCCGTCCCATTTTTTTCGTTCCCAATGATTTTATTAAACTCGAAAACCAGGCCCCATTAGTTGTTTTTCTTCATTGTAATGTTTTTCCTGTATGCAA